GATGGATGGATAGATAGATGGATAGATAGATTATAAATTTATGGATGGAAGGAGGAAATGGATGACTGCTCACAAACAATAATGGTTACTTCACACACAACTTTTTTTTCAGTTTTAAATCAGATTTCATGAGTTTTCAGATAAACACAGTTTAACATGAAAACATGAGCACTTATCATCTTATATTACTGTTGTGGTAATTTGACATGTATATGTATATGTATGTGTTCTGCAGCCCCGCCATGACAAAACACTGGGAGGCTGAGCTGGAGGCACTAAAGGGGAACAATGCCAAGCTAACGGCAGCTCTGCTGGAGTCCACAGCCAATGTCAAACAGTGGAAACAACAACTGGCTGCCTACCAGGAGGAGGCAGAGAGACTACACAAACGGGTGAGGGATGGGACACAGAAATGCTTGCTTGTTTTTTATGTGTGATTAATTCCTTCAAATCAAATATAAGTGATCATTTGGAACCGGTGGTGTGAAGTCAAGATGAGAGGATGGCAGAAAAAAATAGAGAGGAGACATGAGTTTTGGCATGAGGGAGAGTAAAGAAGTGGTAGTCTGGAAATGAAAACTACATTGAGATCAAGAATCTGTTGTACAAATCTCTCTTCTTTTGATCTCCATATTGTCCTTTTAGGTGACGGAGCTCGAGTGCCAGAGCAATCAAACCCCAGTGATCAAATCACAGAAGACTGAACTCAACCAAACCATAGAGGAACTGGAAAATACACTAAGGGATAAAGAAGAGGTGTGTGCATGTGTGATAGGGTGGAGTGCCCTGCTTGAAATGTAATGGCTCATGCAACAACACCCTACATTCATGCTACACAGCCTTTTAATCTGTTTTTATGTTCTCCAGGAAATGGAAAAGTTGAAAGAGGAATTGGAAAACATGAATGACCTGATGGAGCAGAAAGACACCCTTACCCAGAAACTTGAGGTGAGTGATACAAGATATTAAACATAACTGTTCCCTAAAGTATCAGTAATCTTTGCACTTTGTCATTTCGTACTTCCTAATGACACAAACCTGCCAACAATGCTGTCTCTCTTCCTCCAGGAGACGGAGCTGCGCAGTCGTGTGCTGGAGGAGCAGCTGGCGGGTGCTGAGCAACGACTGGAGGAAAACCAAGAGGAGCAGGAGAATTTCAGGAAGAGCCTGCGGACGCTGCTGGAGCTGCTGGACGGCAAGATCTTTGAGCTGACGGAGCTCAGAGACACCTTGGCTCGGCTCATAGAGGAGGCCAGCTAGAGACGGGGCTGCCTAATCTTTACAGACAGAGCCATATGATAATTTACACCCTCACAATGCCATACTCACCCACACCAATCCTACCCACCATGCCCTCCTTCCTCATACACCTCACGCACATTAAACCTGAGACACTACACTGCCCTGATTCTGATTTTGCTCAAAAAGGGCAGCTAACTCTCCATTTTTACCTGCAGGCATCAAGCTACAACCAACCGCAGGCACTCCTGTAGTTCAAAACAACACAGGGACTACCTCATCTTGCCTTCTGATTGGCTGGTGTAGGCGTAACCTCGGTTGAATTGGTCTCCAGTCGTAGAGATGCCTGTCATGGCACATTGCAACTGCCCCTCCAAACCCACCCACCCACACACTCACAAAGAGTTAACTTGAGAACTGTGCCTCAGTGCCATCTGCTGTTTGACTGGGAGAGCTGCAGTACAGCTTGCAGCATCACAACATCACACACACACACCCCTTTTCTTCCTCTCTAAACTGCCCCCCCCCCCCCCCCC